CGTAAATGGGAAACATGAGCCTATTTTAAGCTTGAGATACATTCGTACTTGTAATGCTGGAGTGATTTACGATTGTAGTATATATGCTTATAACACTTTTAATATCAAATTTTATTCTTTCTTTTATTGTTAAAGAGATTAATTCTTAACAACAATTTAAAATTAAAAATACAAATAAAAATTTAAAATGACTTAATCAAGTTCAAGGATATTTTATAATATTTTTACTTAAACTTCTTGGTAAAAGAAAAATGTATTTATGTGGAGACTATTATCTGCAGATTAAAGTTAAAGACTTTTTGAAAAAGTTTTTTGACACAAAATAAGTTATTTTTTAATTTTCAACTGCACTGATCCACAATCCACTAAGGCAATGCACTCATATATACTAAATAGTCTTAAAATCAGATCAATTATTAAAACAAATAAGATTTGCTTTTCACTAAAATTATTTTCATAGATACATATACATACCTTCTGATCAGAAAGTACTTAGATTTTGTAAATAAAACACACAAATATAAATTTCATTCCAAATTTATTTAATCTCCTTCAAAATATGCTCCTTCTGAAGCGATACACATATGCCAACGCTTTACCCAATCTTCCGTACACTTTTCGTAGGCCCGTGAAGGTATGGCTTTTAGTTCCTTTAGCGAATTCTCTTTTTTTCCGATTCAATCGACTCAAAACGCTTACCACGAAGGGGCAGTTTGAGTTTCGGGAACAGGAAAAAGTCGCACGAATCCAGATCTGGCGAATATGGTGCCTGAGCGATGACAGTGGTGCCGTGTTTGGTCAAAAAATCGCGTACAACAAGAGCCGTGTGCGATGGAGCGTTGTCGTGGTGAAGAATCCAATTGTTGGTTTTCCACAAATCTGGTCTTTTCTTACGGATGGTAATATTCTTTGTTGATGGTATGACCCTCTGGCAAGAATTCGTAATGAGCAACACCGCGGTAGTCGAAAAAAACAGTGAGCATAACTTTAATTTTAGAGCGACTTTTACGCGGTTTTTTGGGTTTTGGCTCGTTTTCGAAGCGCCATTCGCTCGATTGTTGACTGGTTTTGACATCATACTCATAAACCCATGTCTCATCACCTGTTATGATGCGTTTCATGAATGTAGAGTCATTTCTATGCTCAAAAATCATTTATTTACACACGTTCTTTGGGTATTCTTTTTGCAAAAAATCAAGGTGTTTTGGTACAAGTCGAGCTGCAACGCGTCTCATGCTCAATATATCATGTAGAATGTGGTAAACGGATCCATTTGAGATCGGATCCATCACGAGCAATCTCCCTTTCAGTCATACGACGATCTTCCAGCACAATTTTCTTGATTTTTGCCACGTTTTCTTCGGTATTTGATGTTGATGGACGTCCAGGACGAGGCAAATCATCGATCACTTCACGACCCTCTTTGAATGATTTATACCACTCGTATGCCTGTGTTCGAGACATAGAAGAGTCCCTGTAAACTTTCTGCACCATTTTCAATGCTTCAACACATGAAATTTTGTTCAAAACATATAAATTTCAAACAAACTCGTTGTTCAACTGAATTTTCCATAGTAAAAATCGCTAAATGCACTTGAGGTAGTCTCACATTAACAGCTGCTGTAAAGAAAAAAATTTTTGAAAAAGGTCTATTACTTAAGGAGTAGTTAACAAAACTCGGGTACTTATTGAGCAGAAGGTATATATTCTCCTACTATTTATAAATTTGCTTTATCGCTATAAGTAAATACCAAACCTCCTTCTGTTACAACTTTAAACAATACTTCTGTAAACAATGCTGAATTGAATTGGAAAAATAAGTTATTTTTATCATTTCAAGTTCTAAATAAAATGCAGTCGCATCGATTGCACATCCTCCATATAAGGTGCCAAGATGTGCTTTGAAAAGATACAATTTTTTGTTCTTCATCTACGTAAGTAGATGCATATTATATTTGTTGAGATATTTGTATTGTATTGTGGAAGACATTGATGATCATATTATCGGTATACGTTTTTAGTATCTTTAATAAGATAAATAAATTTAGTGACTTTATTGACAATTTGACGCTTGTTAAATTTTCTATTGAAAATTTTTGTCACTAAATTTGAAAATTAATTACATGAAAATATGAACAGTGACTGTTTACATATTCAGGCAGACGAAGTTGAAAATTAATAAAATTGATTTAATAAATGATAAGGATCACTTTTAAAATAATTTCTGAAATTAAAACTTATTTTATGTTAAATACATATTTGTATATATTGCTCAAACTATTTTTAAATTATTGACTCAGAAATAATTTCGGTTAAGATAAATTAATGCTAATGAAAATTTACACCTACTATTACAATTTCTAACACTTTAAGTTAAGTTAAATGTATTATTGAGAGCAACAGGCATCAACAGGGATCGTCTTTTGACCCATTGCAATACCTGAAACAAAATAAAATAAAATACTGTAAAATACTGTAATATGCGGATTTAAATATAAAGGGCTTTTAGCATAACTTTATGCAATATATATTGGTATTATAAGGATGCTGAGATATTATTTTCTTATGATTTTTCTTAGTGTTTTAAATAAGGATTTGCAAAACTTGTAGTCTGAAGTCTTGCTAAAGCTTGGCATATGTTATATATATACATTTTTTTAATATATTTGTATATTACCAAGAGATATATGGACTCTGACTTAGATTTAACTAATGCCATAAAAAATGTTTAGCGCAATAACATCTACAAGTTAATGTTTGTAGATGAATAAGTTACATTTTGATATTTCATGAAATATAACTTTATCTAAATCGGCCCAAATAAGGACCCAAAAGGACTACCGAATACTAAATTACATTTTAAATTTCGTGAACTTTTCGCAGAAAATTATGGTAAATGGTAAAAATGGGAAAATAAACAAATGTACGTCATCTTGATTGTTTTTTTGTTTTTTTTTTTGATTTGTTTGATTTCGTGACGATTGGACACACTTTGGTGACGATGACCCGCGACCACTTGCAGAAATGACTCGCAAAATATAAAATATTAAGCACATTTTATTTAAAAATAATTTTTATATTTAACATGCAAATGCTAATATTGTTGGATTAATATTTTATCAGATAATAACTGGAATTTTAATATTAATTGCTTTTAAATTGATAAATTTGAATTGTGAATACATATGTGAAATAAAAATTTTTTTTATATTTTCTATAAAATGACTCGGTATGGAAGTTTTTTACATTTGTATAGCGAACTTTTTGTCTTAGAAGTAAAATAACTAGACATTTTGCATTATAATTTCCTTTTATAATATCGAAATTGATCTGAAATTTTCTATATACAAATTTACAATTATAACGACAATTTCACTCATTAATTAAGGGTCCTCGTTTTTGGTCGTAACCTCTTTTTTGGTCCGATTTTAGGCACAGGACGTTTTCGTAATATTTGTATTCTTGTGTAAGAGATACATGCATCATTTTAACTAATTTATTTTCTTAGCGAATTATGTAACGTTTTCAATAGTTTGCCATACCCTCTCGAGATCATCAAAAAAAGTTTTCCAACAATTTTAGATTAACCTCTGCTACGACTGGGCATTTATACAATAGTTTCCTAATTTAAGATGTTCTATCAATAGTCAGAATTGTGTAGATTGGGTGAATTGGTTTCTTTTTGCTATCAAATGGCAACATTTCTTGAAAAAGGATAGTATATAATTTTCATTTATGTGTAATATATATCGCAGATCTATATAAAGAACTATATAAAATCCTATGTATATATATAAACTATATATAAAAAATTAAGACTACCGTCAAAGTAACTTTCTTAATTATTTAAATTAAATTAAAAATTTTAATAATTATGTATTTTTCATTAAATTTTAACATTTATAAATAAAATTTAAAAAAAAAATAATAGAATAAAGTTACACAAAATGTTTATTTAAGAATAGGTCAAACCCAGCGATATTAGTTATTAGAATTTAATCCGTCGTGGACTTATTTTTTTGTAAATAAAAAGGTTCATTTTACTTAATTTTTTTGGTCTTTTTATGACTGGAACTTTTAAGTTTTAAACTCCAAAGCTTACAGTGCCTGGTGGTTAGCTAGTCCCGTATCTGCCTTCGTCTGAATTTTATTAACTTTTTCTTATATTATGACGAATTCCATATATGTCATTAAGAGCAATAGACATGGAGTATAGTCGTTACGTATATAAAGTATAATATAATAAAATAATATATAATATAATATAAAGTCTGTTGATATAATTGTTTTAATATTTGTATGTGTGTATGCAGAGTAATTAAAAATTATTAAAATTATTTTTAACAATTTGAAATAAAAAAAGAAATTAATTTGTTTATAATTGCAGTAAATTATTTCAAATTAAAATGTTTTGGTTAAACGTTTTAGTTTTAAACAACTTAAACCAGTTCAGTTTATTTACGATACTTGGAGAGATAATATGGGGATTTGGTGTACTCTTATATATATATTACTTTTTATAAACGCTTACGAAGGATATAAAGTATTACTTTACAGTTTTTAACAAAAAAATTATTTCATTTTTATATTAAACATATTTTTTAATAATAATATTTGATAATATAAATAATATTTTTTCATAATGGAAAACATTTTTATAACAAAAAAAGTGTAACTGCTGAGTTATAAATGAATAAATTATTTAAATATATTATAATATTGACTATAAAAGAAAAGTAATATATTATATAATAATAATTATTGTAATTATAAGTAACTTAAGATTTTTATCTTTACTTTTTACACATAAATATTTATTGCTTTTCTTACATATTAATTGCAATGTAAATAGCATATTAAAAAATTTTAATTTACTTCAAAACATATTTTAGAAAAATATGGTGGCAAATACTTTTGTTGTCAATAATATAAAATGTGTTGAGTATGACAAAAATTTTGCATTTTTTGTTTACTGTTATGTGAAGCCTGTGAACAGAACCATGAAGTATATTTCAGTACGCGTCCGACTTCTGCAGACCCCAGTTACTCAAACTCATGTAAACTTTGATGTTATTAAATATTTTTTAATCTAAACAAAAAGTTTATTTTCAGGTGCAATTTACTATCTGGAAAAAAGCTAATGGTTATAAACCTTTTGTTATAAATACTACTTTAGATATGTGTAGGTATTTTGAAGGTAAAAAAAATCCATTTTTCGATTTTTTTTTTGATACTTGGAAGAAATATTCAAACATTAATCACACTTGTCCATATACGGTAAATTATACAAATTCCACTTTCTATTTTTAAAACCATTTATATGTATTGCAGTCGGATATTGTGGTTGAAAAAGCTCCTCTTAATAAGTTTTCAACTCCTACACCCTTCCCTGAAGGAAGTTATCGTGTTGATTTTATGGTTGGAGCTTATGGTATAATTCGTGCAGGAGTGCAACTATTTGTTACTCTAGAATAATTAAATCTTCATATAGGAATTATAGTGCTAAAGTATTTCTCTAAAGACAGTGTTTATAATAAATTTTTCGATTTAACTCGGTTCATATATATGCACTATTTGTATAACATATATTCGGATGTAGGAAACAAATAAGTATTAAATAAATATTTTTGATGTCACCTATTAATGTTTTTTATTTTACAACAATTTAATAATAAAATAATATGTGTTTTAGAGATTGAGGTATATTGTAATATAGTTTGATGAAAACATATTTTTCGAATTAGATTTACTGGGTAGAAGGAACGTAAGAGTACAGAATTTGAGTTACTAATATTATATATCGTTTTTTAAGTAAAAATATTGACATAAGAATAAAAACAGTGCAAATCCTACAAATAATTTAAAATTCCTGGATTTGCATCAATGAACACTAGTAAACACTAGTAAAAACTTCACTTCAATTTTAGAACTGCTCTGTTGTTTTAAATTTGTATTGAATATGGCATTGTATGTTTTCATTCGTCAAGTAAACTGCAAGTACTTGCAAAATTGGCATACATAATCAAAAATACTTATAAACTAAAAACTATCATTGACATCAAAAATATGAAATTAAAAGTGCCTTTGTATACCATCATAAAATATACAAAAATAATGCCATAATCAGAAAGTTTAAAATCTTGACTTATGATCTTTCATGTTTCGTAGGAGTTATTTTACTTTTTAAACTTATTTATGACACAAATATATTTATGGTCCAATATTTCGTTATAAGGCACAAATATTTCTAGGACCAATAATTTTTGTATTTTTCTGGTTGCATTTTGTAGTCTCTACAGGAACTTTAAAGTAGCAATACTCATATGGAGATTTATTCGATTTTTCTGTCAATTATGAGGTTGAACTTTTATTTTTGTTTTATATATGAAAGCATAGAGAAAAATATTGAAAATTTCATTTCAGATATGTTTTCCGATGACCTTTTGCTTATCATATCAGAAATATTATTTATTATTATTATTTATTATTATTATTTATTTTCTTTCATTTAAAGTTTAAATCATACTTTATTTTGATAGGCAATGTGATGATCAATGATATGTCATATATTCACAATATTTTGTAAGTTCTGCTACTGAAAAGTTTCATATTTAATGTAAAGACAAATATTTTCGAAAATGATACGTAAATAATGAAAAGAGAAACTATGTGGAATATTTACATTTTATGTGAAATTGACTGAAATTAAACGTTCAACATAAAGTAGTTCAAATATAATTCAAGTGTAGTTGGGAAGCTATCAGGCGCTTTTAATAAGCTGGATGTCTCTGATAGACATCTTTCATAATTAGGATGGTTATAATTCCATTGATTAAAAACTTGACGTACCCCTGTTCTGCCGACGTCTGTTCAGATGAGAGACGAAATGTCAAAATGGCGTGTAAAATTTAATTCTTCTACTCGTTAATAGGTGTCATTTTCAAAACCTTTCAGCTAACCTGTACTTATAAGCATATCTGCATAAAAATATGCATATTCGGTTCTAAAAGGCATAAATTCTTATATTAATTATTGCTTATCACTGTTTGACTAATTTGACGTGACGAGGCCAATCAAAATATCTCTCGCTCTCTCATTTATTCTTAAATTTTTAATTTGTTTTTAGAAACAATAAAAATTTCGTATTTGGCGTGAGTATCACTAACTGTAAACATAGCCCTAACTTACAGAATAACGTTATTCCTTTTGTTTCAACACACCAGCAAAGATTAAGCTAATTATCTTAATTCTATCGTTATCTGACGAAGGTTGGGAATTAGTTCGTACTCAATAAAATATGTTAAAAATATTTTAGGAATTATATCCAAGTTAAATATCATTATAAATAGTTTATTATTAATTAATTTTTTATTTAGAACTGTACGAAACATAAAATTGGTTAAATGAAAAATATTTAAACTGCATTTGCGTATTTAATTTATTCAATTCAATTAAAAAAGGATGTGAACATTTGTTAATTAAATCTTAATTAAAATCTTAATCGTTTCGTATGGTTTCAAATGCTTATTATGGGATTTAATTATATACGAAACCCAATCTACGGTTGCTTTAACATCATTTAATTATTGATTACGTGCTTTGAAATACGCAAAAAGGACTTCAATTCGTGACCTTAGCATTTATTTTGGTACAACGTTTTTGTGCAAATATGTAAAAATAAAATAGAAATTATATTATATGCTCATAAAATTTATGGACGCAGATAAAATCGCCAAATCGCTAATATGAATAAAACGAAGGACACGCATACTAAATAAGCACCAGTTCACATTTTTATGCCAACAGGATATGTGCGGCACAGCAGAGATATTTCAGCTGACCATTTTATATAGAACTGATGAGTGTGAGTTGAGGTCAACTTATACGGTCAGTTTTAATGGCTTTAACAGTGTTGATTTCGTTTAAGTCCTTGACATCGAGAGTTGGAAAACGTTTTTATTTTTATGTTTAAAAAAACAAAAATTAAAACGTTTTTGTTTTGTTTAAATGTAAAAATCTAAAAATAAAATTTTGTTTTTTATTCTTAAAGTGATTTTGTACCAATTATCAAACTTCTATTATGCAGTTCCTTGTTCAGAGGTTTCCACTTGCACGTAGTTCAGATAGAATTTTTATTCAAAGTGCGTACTTATCCTTTTCGTTTTTTGTTGGTGCTAAAATTTGGCACAATGTCAACAATTATAATGTAAAAATTGCTTGATGTGTCACCTGTCACTTTTGTTTTATTATCGCTCATTAAAATGCTTGTCAGGATATGGTTTTTAATACGAATTTGTTTACAGCTATAGTATGTATAGGACAATTTAATAAGTCTGTTGGCACCTGTATTGAGTGTCACAAAAGTTTATGAATTTGAGCTCGTAAATTAAAATGATGAGATATTTTAGTACTAAAATTAAGCATTGCTCACTGATATTTTTTCTTTTTTTTATATTATATATTTATATGTATATTATAATATACAAAAATTATAAGAAAGTAAAGTCTATTTTAACATAATATTTCTAATATATTTTTTTTTTTTCAGGTAAGAAAAATTTAATTCATAAACACTCTAACATCGCATTCATCAGCGAAGTATAAACAGATAAGTTATCTAAGCACATGTTCTATTTAATATATATATGTATATATGTATATAGTAATTTACTATTACTTACATATTAGACACTAATATGTAAAATAAATATTAACACAGTAAGCTGAAAAAATCACTCCTTACTATTAGGTTAGGTTATACCGGCGATCCTTAGTGGATCCACTTAGGCCTACTTTCCCATTGTGTTACCGTATATATAAAAAAACTCAGGGTTTAAAACCACCTAGAACCTATAGCGAACCATAAAATGCTATTTAGTGAGAGGTCCTGTAACTTATTCAAATTCTTAAGAATGGGGGCTCCTAAAGTATTAAGTCGCTGCTGTGCATAAGCTGCGCAAAAACATAGTAGTGGGTTCGTACTATTCTATTTTTAAAAAAATTGTAACTGTTAGTTTTATTATGCATATTATTTCCAATGACTGCTCTATGTTGTTGTATGTATTATCTGTTAAGTCCATCATTATAAATTCTCTCTTAGAATAAGTCGTATTAAATATTGCGATAAATACATAATATGCAAGTATTGTAATGATGTAAGTAATTTAATTGAAATTAATCTGGTTTGAAATCTAGCACGCTTACTCTGCAAATCTATTTGAATTAAATGAAACTATATATACCTATATAATTTCCACAAAAGTAGCTGATTTCAAGTTTTGAATATTTTAAACTTTAGTAAAATGATTTTTTATTCATGGCACTCGATTAACATGATTTGCACACTAAAGTCACTAGTTCTTTATTATAGTAAATGAACATAGTTGAGATATAATATTACTAAGATAAAAATATATAGCAAAAAGTTATAATAGTCACAAATTTAAAAAGACCAAAAATAAAAATTATATTTTTAATACGATTTTAGTACGTGATAGAAAATATTATTGCGAAGAATAAATTTTATTTGTTATATTTTTGTTTATTTTCAATGTGTCCGTATATTTATACGTACGCTTTGTTAAGTAAAAAAGAGATAGAATGTCTTTTATTTATGTTTAATAAATAGATTTTTATTTCAATTTAAACAATAATTTCTAAAAATATATATTTTCTTCAGATTATGATCAGATTAGTTTCACTAAAAAAATATAGATTTGAAAAAAAAAATTTTTAATTATTGAAAATATTGAAGCATTTATGAAAACCGCGCTTTTTCTAGATATATTATTTGGTTATCTAGTAAGAAAAAACGTCTTTTATTTTATAATATGTTTAGTCCAATATTACATGCTTGTTAAAAACCTATTGATTAAAGGAACTAAAACTTTTTATTAATAGAACATTTAAGATTTATATCAAAATAGAAGAAAAGAGGTCTTTAAGCATTTTTATACCCATTGCACGAATAAATTATAGCAGCTAGTTACAATAAATACAATTATCTAAAATAAAGAGCATCAAATTCCGCATTTAAGTCCTGCATACGATTAAGCTTTAGGCTATGGGTAGTACATATTATACAATTAGATTACATTGATAGTAGTCAGTTAATGTAGTGAGAAACTGTAGTTTAATCGTGCGTTGGGCATTACTCTGAGTTGTGATAATAGTTCCTACTGATTTATAAGTTAATGTATTTTATTAAAATTATCTTTAAATGATTTAATTCTAATTGGTCTTTGTTAATAATGATGTTATTATTCGTATCATTTAAGTAGTTTTTTTTTTAGGATCAAAAATTGAAAGCACTTATCGAGTGATAAAACCGACCACAATGTATAAAAACAGTAATAACGCGAGATTCGTATTATAGCATATATTAGAACATCCAGAACTATGGATGTGGATAACTTCAATCCACCAAAAATAAATGAAATTTTTGTTATGGTACTTATAAAAATAGTTAGAAAGTGTTTTGGTAGTTTCAACCCTTGATACTTGCACCTAGATACTTATAAGACCAGATAATGATGGGAATTTGTCAATACTCGAAACTGGTATAATGTCAGCCAAAAATTCAATTAAATAAAATAAATAAAAATTTTATTATTACTATTCACGACTGTTCGAAAATTTTTAATAATCTTTTAAAAAATTCTATATTGTATTAATAAATGCGTTTTTTTTTTAAAGAATTAATTAAATTGAAACATTGCTGAAGTACTTAACATTTGAACTGTAGGCTGCATATGCGATACGAACTCTACTTCACTCTTAAAACTGTTCTGGTTTGTTTTTGACTGATTTAACACAAATTGAAGTTCAGTTTTACGGTTTTTTCTCTTCTTACAAACGATGCTAGTCTTCGGTTGACAAAGTTGCTGAAAATGACATTTTATTTATTGTGACAATGAAATTTGTTTGAATATTTAAGCTACACTTTGAAATTGGTCCATGCCAACTTTTTATGGGTGTCAATGTTAAGGTCATAGTATTACAGTATTGACAGTTATTAATTTAATAGTCAAGAGATTTTTGTTTTACGCACATAATATATTTTATTGTATATTCGAAAATGAAATACTTCAATATTAATATTTGCTACTAACAATAATGAATTATTGATATTGATAGATTTTAATAAAATATTGTTTCTTATTTTGAATTGCTCGAAATAAAGTAGAGTGATGGAAGTTATACAGAAAAGTATATATAATGTAAATTATTTCCTGAAACAAATAGAAAGTAAAAAAAATCTTTTGTAGTAATTCACATATGCATGAGTATTTAAAATTCATACATTTAAGATGACATTATTCTATTTAACTTGTTTAATATCAAGTAAAAAGTGAAATCCTTCTCTACATTAGTGTAATCAGGTAATGCTCAACTCAAATCAAATATATATATATTGAAATTGGTTTATTGGTTCATTGGTTTATGGAATATTTGTATTCCATATGTTCTGACATTTTAACATAAAAAGACTTAAGTGTATTGTATAGGCTAATGAATTTATTGACCCATATTCTTTTGAAGTTACTATAGATCATAACATTACTCTGAAAAAAGCGTGCTCTATGTCCATGATTAACAACTTATTTGTTGCTTAATTAAAAGACGCTAACGTAAAACCACGACGCTAACGTAAATATTATAAAATATTGTGGGCTTAACACAAAAAAATAATACAGTCAGATTTTGTAGATCGTTGTTGCCCGTATTAAACCATATTAGAAATTTGCTTTCATAATCATGTGATCTTATCGCTCTGGACTAGTGTCCTTTGAGATATTTGAAGTCGGTTTTAAATATTAAATCTTTTAAATCCTACAAAGAGCATAGGATCGAAGCATATAATTTCCATTGATTTTAATTTGACGACAAAGTTTTAACCTCACTCCAACTTTTTCCGTAACATCGTAACTCTGTTTTAATTTGTTTCCTATAGAGCCTTGGAGGTCATAGTTTAGGATTTGTTTATTGGTGTCGTCTGCAGGTATGCGTAGAATATGACCGATTTTACTATTTCTTCAATTTTTAGTGGCGGATTAGTTCTAAACCATAGATCGGTGTAACGTATGGTGTTAGGTCAAATGACTGAAAAGATGGGACGTAGACAACGATTGATAAATGTTTCAAGTTGCACTGCGCTGCAGGCAGAAGTGTTTCAGCTTTCACATCCATATAAGAGGGTGATCTTTACATTCATATTGAATTAACTTAATTTAGTGCGGAGTGAGATGTTTGCTAATTCAAATAAACCAGTGATATTCTAAGTACTCGAAGCTAACACTCGTAAAATCATTGGCAATATATGGTTACAGTTGTTCTTAAATTAAACATTCAATATGCGTTAAGTTCAATCAGCTATGGTGTATATATACCCGAAATGTTATTAATAATTTACTTACGTAGCTGAAAATAAAATCTATCTAAGCTATACTCTTTTAACATAATGAAAAAATAAAATTTTTTAGTTGTATTTAAAGTTTGAAAGCATAAAGATTTATGTCACAATAATTCTTTTATTGTTTTAGAATCCCTTTTCAGAACTTACAATGGGAATTCTAAGGGTCAATTTCCCCTGTTGTAATGATAAAATAGATAAAAGTAGTGTACTTCGTCAGTCGACCTATATGCGCTTTTTTATTTTGTTAGTTTTTATTTGTGCTTTTCCTATTCGTTTAAAATCTTTTTACTTACAAATGACAGTTTTGGTGAAGATTTGTTATTTCATTTGGTTGACACATTGATGAATGAGGTCAGTGAGAACAGATTACTCTAGTGACACTTACACTGCAGTTATTTATGTTTGGTATTGGGAAAAACAAAAAAGAAAAACAAAAATAATATATCAACAAATTTAAGATAAATTTATTGATACGCTACAGGCTAATCGAAATTTAAATAAAACGTAGAATAATAAAGAACTTTAGTTTAAAGGTTGAATAATAAATAAAAGAATTTGAATTGCTTGGGTATTGAATTAAAAAACATCTTCCAAATATATATTTTTAGTATATAAACATTTTAAATACATAAATATTTTAATTATATGAAAAGACTTATATATATAAATTTTTTATATAAATCTATTTCGTTCGTTGTACTAATTTCAGCCAAAAACCACTTTTGGGTGATACCTGAAAACCGCGCAAATCATCTAAAAGATTATTACAAGTCTTCTCAGAACGTTCAAGCTTAAACTCTTTAAGCAAATAGTATATCATAGCTTTGGCTTGCATTAAAGCGTAACGATTACCTGTAAAATATTAAAAAAAAATCAATATTTCCCTAATTTAAGATTTTTTAAATATGTATTTATACCTATACAAATTCTAGGTCCCACGCCAAATGGTAAATATGTCATTGATTTCATATTAGCTTTGTTTTCATCATTAAATCGTTCCGGGTCAAAAGTTTCAGGGTTGGGATAGTACTCATCATCCCAATGTATGCCAACAATTTGGAACCATATACGGTCGCCTTGTTTTAATTTACATATTAAATTACCCTCATCGTCTGTAACATCATAATCACTGCTACATTCACGATCAGTCAAGGCAGCTAAAGTCCATTTACGTAACGATTCAGACACAACCATATTTAAATATTTCATATCCTTAAGAGTGTCATAACTCAACGTTTCACCATTTAACTTTTTATCGAATTCCATTATTTCTTCGTAGAGTTTTGCTTGTACATCAGGATTATTCATTAATTCATGACAGGTTGTGCAAATAAAACTGGCATTGTTTTCAAAAGCAGCGAAGAAGAAAATAAAACATTGGGCTACAATTTCCTCATGAGACCAATTATAAGGGGAATCTTTCTTTACTTCCATCATTAATTGTATCATATCAGGGCGATGTATATTGTTTTCCTCACGATATTTCATTGCGTTTGAGACTAAGTTTACAAAATAATCAGCTCGTTTTTTATCAAACGGTTTTAAACCTAATAACTGAAAGGTTAATGAAATATGAAAAAAATTTGAATTGAATTTTTATGCTTTTTTGAAAGTCTGCTGTTATAGAATTGACTTACATCAAATAGTTTTGGTGATAAACTGTACAACATAAATTTAAGAGCTTGCAAACCTTTGGTTTTTGTGATAGAACTTCCAATTGTGTAAAATTCATTATTTTCATCAATGAAGGAGTTAACTTTTAGACCAAAAGCTGTAGTTGCAATCAGATCGTTCGATAATCGGGAGAAACATTCTTTCATATTAATGTCGACACTATTCCCACCATCTAAGCGTTTATGTAAGTATTTTATACTTTCGGCAAAACAATCATTCATGAGCGTGAACATGGCTCGCATTTTAGAGGCTGTGAAGACTGGAGTGAGAGTGTTACGCATATTTTTCCAACGTTGATCTCTCATCACAGTTAACATGCCGCTAAACAATGGATCTTTGTCTGCATTGAATAAACGTTGATGGTTTGCGAATGTGTCAGAATCCTTGACACCTAATTTTATTATCAGTTCAGGATCGTTGACAATAAAAAACGCTTGACTAAAATTGTAGTATCCATATATTTTGCTAAAACAGAGTAAATATTGTAGTGGAAATGAGTTCATATAGAATGTAAAAAAAGTTCTATTTTATTTATGTATGCTGCTAACAAAAAAGCATTTCTTTTTCTTTGTTTATGGAAAAAATCTTATACCCAGATTCACATTAAATTTAACCATTACTTTGCAATCAGATAGATTTTAGGACTAAAACTTACTGTTTAAGTAGATCGGTTGATAGTTTAGATAGGTAATCTTTAAACCGATATGTGTAGCTTGATTAGACCTCAATTTCTTAAAAAGTGGTATGTGTTCTAACCAGTTTTTTCTATTTTTTCATAGTAATTAAATATAATTAAGCAGTTTATGTCATTTGACAAGAAAACCACTTTAAACAATGTTCTCCGTCTTTTATTGAGAATGGTATATGAAAATTTTGACAAAGGATCTGTTAAGGATACCCTAGAGTTAATGTCATTTTCCAAAGAGGAACTGTCAGGTAAAAAGATATGGATTTTTTTGCTGCTTTAAATTTCATAAGAGAAATTTTAATAGCGTAGGTTTATTCTTGCTTGAAAATCTTAGATGAAATTTTAGTAAATTTAATCTACAGGTAACATTTGATGCTTGTTTTAGTAAAGTAAGTAGATTTTTTAAGTAATAAGTTTGAGTTATTACTAAATTATTCTAAATACTACAAATGATACTAATTTAATTACTAGGTGTTGTTATTTTGGTATTCTTTAAGTCCTAAAATTCTTTGTTGAAAGACTTTAAACCATATATTTTATATGGCCTTTGTAAGATGATGCCAAGAAGTACACTGCTAACTTTTTAATTTAGAAAATTTTTTTACTTTTCCTTAAGCTAAAGCTTGAAATGTTTGCTCCACGATTTGTAAAAATATTTACAATATCAAATTTCTATTAAAAACAATTGAATTTAATTAAATTTCCTTGACTCAAGTTGTTACAGTGAGTTTATTTTATCAAGTTGATTGCTTAGCAAACTAACTAACTAGTACTAATAGTTACAAACAAGCTATTTTTCTGAAGTTTACGGATTTCTGTTTTTGGTTTACATTTTACGATGTAGTTTTTATCATTTTGATAGCTAATCATTGTTGGTAAAAAATTTCAGTTATTGTTTTTAGAGACTGCAAATTTGATTGCAACTTACAATCAAACATTTCTATACACCACATGCAAAAAGTACCAACAATCAACGCAACAAAAGACTATCAATAAACAAGTTAACTAAATACAAAGACAACTTACAACCAAAGATATATCTTATATATAAACAAATTTCTAATTGCTTAAAGGCTCTGCTAGTGTTTCTTCTAAAATAAAATACTTTTAAACATTTCCGGGAATAAAAAAATTGTTCTTTCAAGTCCAATTACAATTGTAATCTAACATATACAGTTTTAGTTACAATTACATTGTAATTAGGTATTAGAGGTAATCTTATTACATTGATTTATGTTAAAAGTAATCTTATTGTTTTATAAATCAAATCTTATCTAGGTTAAGTTAGGTTATACCGGTGATCCCTAGTGAATCCACTTAGGCCTAATTGGCCCATTGTGATGCCGTATATAAATAATAAAAACCTCAGGGTTTAAAACCACCTAGAACTTTTTGCGAAGCATAAAATGCTATTTAAAGCCCGATCCTGTAACTGGTCCAGGTCCTCAAGGAAGGGGGCTCCTAGAGTACTAAATCGCCGACGTGCATGAGCTGGACAAAAACACAAAAGATGAGATGCGCTCTCATCGTCCTCCCCACAGCTATGACAAATTTGGTTGAAAGGAGGACCTAGTCTTTTAGCATGGTTCCCTAGTTTACAGTGTCCTAATCTTATCTAATATTCCATTCAAAAATATTGCCAAATATATAAAACGATTATAATAAACGATTATAATATTAACCCTTTTTAATAAAATAATTTATATATTTATTCCACTTTTACATAATTGTTTATAAATTTTTAAATGTTTAAAATTTAAAATTATAATATTTATAATATATAAATATCCTATTTATATAAATATTATAATTTAATACATAATTATATATATGAGAAAAAATTAATTATTTATTTTAAATAATGCACAGCTCTGAATGCAAGTGACTGTCATATTATCGTTAGTATTAATTAATTGTGAAGTAACTACAGTACAGTGAGTCAAGAAAATTTTTGCAAATTTTAAATATTTACTTTTCTTTATTTATTTTATTATTTCATGTTCTGTATATGTTTCGTTCAAAATTAAATTTGTTTATTTATTATTGTTAAATGTTTGTAGAATTTAAATATTTGCATTTTTGTATTTGTTTTAAAAAAAAAGAAACTCTTAAAAAATTTGAATTTGTTTGAAAAAAAGCTTTTTAATAATGTGCATATGTTTTGTCCAAAAATAAATTTAGTGGTTTAAAGATAAACAAAACAATCTATAACTCCATTGCCATTTGTTATTCGATAAGCAATAAAAAAGAAATACTAATACATGAATAGTATTTTTAGATATTGACAGAGAAATTTATGTACTTAAAACATAACATTTTGATTAAAACAATAAGTAAAAAAAAATGATGTTCACATTAAAAAAAAAAATACTAAAAATATTTGGTATAGGTCAGGTTCGAATAAAATATTTCTATTTTTCAACTTTTATGGCCACAAATAAAATTATAAAGGAACCTACAAAATGATGATCTAATTATTTTCCAAAAATTTAATTCTTTAGTTTTTGTTTATTTTATTTTTGAATTTTTTTTTAACAAATTTAAAATATTAAACACTTAACATAATAAGCTAACCAGATGGTTTAGTATACTTAAAGAGTATAGATATTTTGTTTTGACCGCTAAACATTTAAAAATCACACTTGAAAGATACATATTTATTTTTGCAGTAATAATTTGTTAAGATTGTTATTATTATTATTATATAATTATATATTAAATTTACTCTCGATCTTGCACACATATTTTAAAATTATAGTAATATATAAAAGAATATATTGAAAAATTTTTATTATATACTTACTGCTGCTTAGTTTGTCTATACAATCTGATCATAATTTTATGCAGAGATTCTTTTCCTTTTAAAAAATCCAACGCATTTCCTATAAACGGCACTGGTTTCTTATGCGGTACTCCACGGTTTTCAAAAACCGTGAATGTTTTTTTCAACCATCCATTAAGCAAATACGCTGTATATAAGATTAATAATAAAACTAAGTAAATAAACATTTTGAACTTAATCAACTGTGATACATCACGTACGAAAGTAAACTGCACTGAAGGTGTGGTTTGTGATTATCATTTGTAGTCAAAATTATTTCAAAAGCTTTTTGCAATTGGAGAGAAAGCTTCTTATAAACAAACTTAAGTTTCAGATCTCTGAATTTCAAAATATGTAGTAATTGCTCAGACTGAAGTAACGTCGTAAAATATTTTTATCACCAAAATTGATTTCTTACAGGGTGTTTAATTTTATTTTACTAAAGTTTAAAGAAAAATTTAAAAGTTACATGTTTAGATAAATACCAACTAGAGATACAAAATAATCAACTAGAGACAATTGTTATAACTGGATTTGTTTTATTGTGTTGTATAAAATTAAAATAGATATCAAGTAAGATATGCATCCGTAATTTAAAACTAATAACGGGCTGCATATACTATAAAAGCAGTTCCAAATGAGAATAGGTGAAAAATACTATTGTCAAGTAGACCACACAAAAATTGTAAATGGATGTTTAGCATATGTATTATCATTCCAATGTATGCCACACAATAATTTTATAAGGTTCTACAATATTTAATAAATATATTATGAAAATAATAAAACACTAATGGCGTTTTCAATTGATAAATCTGAATTCAATTAAAATTTACTCTCGATCTATAAAATTTTGTTGCGCAATGGTACATTTTTAGATTCATCTGACATATCTGTATTAGTATTAGTAGAAATTTATTTTTTTCCAGTAATATATTATGTATATCGAATCAAATCACACATTTTTTGTAAAGTCTAAAAAACAGCTGTTCATTTTAGTGTAATTTTGCTACTCTGGCAATATATCTAGAGTGTTGTAAAATAATCTCATAATAATGCTATGCAATTCGCTCGAGATTTACCAATCGAAAATGACACATGAACATTTCGAAGTCAAATCAAAAATGGAGCAAAGTTAAATCTATTTTCCGATCTTTTAACTCAGTTTCTATTTAGACTTACTTTACAGACATCTCCATTTCGAAATCAAATCAAAAATGGAGCAAAGTTAAATCTATTTTTCGATCTTATAACTCAGTCTTTATTCAGACTCTCTAGATAAGCTCGGAATTCCGAGCCTTCCCGACAAAAGACGCGATTGTTCACTATACTATGTATTATAAAAATCCAAATTTTTTCCTTCCCAAGTTAAAAAATATCGAACGTAAGAAATTTGAGTCACATTATTGTTACGAAACTTAACTAGAACCCCATAATAAGCGAAAGGATAAAAAGAATTAGTTATGTGTATACAAAAATCTTTTCGTCTGAGATAAAACATGTCCCCATTAACAACCATTGGAGTGTATTAATTATCACCTAAACTACCAGATCACTTTTTAATAGGTATGATGATGCTATGATGAAGAGGAGAAGATTGAGCATATTTTCTTAAACTGTCCAGTATTACGCAGACCTAGTTTTTATTTACTAGAGAAGGCATTTCTGAATTCTCCCAATTTGCAAAAATGGACTCATTATTTCCATATTATATTATGGTAACAAGGCTCTGTGTTTAGTTACACATAATATAGAGAGAGATTTTTATCTGGGATCCGGTGGAATTACAACAGGCTAATAGGTCTAAGTATGTCGAAGTAGCTGCGACTCACTTATCTACCCAACTACATATAGTTTGACAACATATCAGTAGGAAAAGGAATTAAATAATGTGAAAATTTACTTGAAAATATAAAAATAGTTAATAATTAAAAACTCCTCTTTAAAAATCTCTTTATAAAAAGTTACTATGGTCTATGAAGAAAAACTATAATCATAAATTACTTCTGTACTTACATTATACTTTAAATAAAAAATGAGAGCTGATTTATAATACTTCAGATGGTTTATATGGATCCTATCAAATCTAAGAAATTTTTAGTTATTGATGTTTATGCTTAAGGTCATAATTATCGCTAAACTACTAACACTTTTTAAAATTGATCCGCATTATAATATATATTCATATTGCAACTTCATTTTGATTTTGATCCATTTCTTATCTAGCTGTTCTACAATATGGATTATTTCGAACCATTCAATTAACTGAATGTTAGATGTTAAGTTCGAAATAAAATAATGGTTGACTGATGATTTGTGTTTTATATGTTCTATTAATTAAAAACAGGGACTTGTTCCACATAAAGCATGCACGAAATCATCACTATCTTTAATATAAAATTTTTATAGCTGTCATTTAGTCAATAAGACTGTGGTCAGTCTTATTGGTGGTCACTTACAATTTTATATTATTGTTTATTGTTTTTTTCTTCTTGTAACATATTTTATAATACGATATGTTATAAATGGAGTTATCAATCGGTTTGTTTCAGCTGAATTTCATCAATTGTTTCTAAATTAAACAACTTGATATAATATCCAATAACAACTCATCATCCTTTGGATTCCCATGTTATATCATATCCCTCCCCGCATCTCAACATGCCAATCTTTTATATATTTCACTTCAGGTCGGCTTCTTGCTATAAAAATATATAAGTCAATAGAAACCGGTTATTTTGAAACTCTTATCATTTAAATGAACCAAAAACCGGTTTTCAAAAATGTCGAATAGTCGATCATAATAGTTATGAACCTTCTTTTATAATATAATGTTTAGTTATTTAGATCATTATAATAGACAGCATTGATAGGATGCAATGGCAATAATGGAATATCTATTAGATACATTTAATAATTTCTGTGAAACTTATACATCAATATTAATAAATGTTTTAGCTATAATTGATTAGTTTTATATCTATCTATATTAAAAAGAAATAATTTAACAATCTTGTGAAACTCTAGCTTTTACTGTAATAATGTAAATGCGGTATATTTAGTACAGAAATATAAGTTTTTACTTCTACTTTAGCATCTCTCCGTATAATTAACATTGTATATGTTTCTAAATTTACATTTCAGCCTCTAATCAGAATATTATTTACATTGTAAAGTGTTAGTTTTAAGCTATTTTCATTAGTCATTGAATGAATTACTTAACATATTTGATGTGAAAACAAATTGACGTGGTTGATATAATTTGTGTGGGTACTTTTTCTAATTTCATTATTATTATATAAAATTATTTTTTTATTGTCGTAAAAACTTGTGACTTGTGGACTATTAAACTTGGTCAACATTAGATAAAACTCATATGTTCACGTTTTTGTAATTTTTCGGTTCTTTATTAATTTGTTGTTTTTATTAATTTTGTTATTTTATAAAATTTATAAAAATTTTCACATTAAATAAAATATTCTCTTTTGTATAAGTTTCATTATAGAATATTATATATTAATTATATGTATTACAAGTAATGATCTGTGTATATAAGAAGCACACATACAATTATTTATATATGGTATAATTAAAAAGGTGCAGCAATTATACAATTTAAATAAACACTTATAATTAATAGAGTTTAAATCACTTGTTAAAATGGTTGACAGTTTAAGTACGTGACACAAAACGTAACCAAAAACCACCATTTGGAGTCACTTGAAAACCGCGCATTTCATCGAAAACGTTTTTGACCGTTTTTTCAGAACGTTCCAATTTGTAGTTCGTAACTAAGTAATATAATATTGCCTTTGCCTGCATAAGTGCATATCGATTACCTGTAAATAAATAAAAACGAAAGATAATTTTTACACAGATAATAAATATTAATTGTATAATAAAATCGTATTTATTGATAACATACCTATACAAATTCTAGGTCCAACGCCAAAGGGTATATTTGTGAAAGGTACAATGTTTCCTTTATTCTCATCACTAAAACGTTCCGGATCAAACACATCAGGATTTTCAAAATACTTTTCATCCAATTGAAAACCGCCAATTGGAAAGAATATACGATCACCAACTTTAAATTCGAACAGTAATTTATCATCATCATCAGTTAGTTTATAATCTTTGGAACAGACACGATCCGTGAAAGGAGCAAAAGCCCATCTTCGTAAAGTTTCATTGAGCACCATTTCCATGTATTTCATTTTATTTGTAGTCTCATAATTTAATGTCTCTTCCTTTAATTCCGCCTTTATTTCAACACATTCCTCATATACACGTTGTTGTATATCAGGATTTTCCATCAACTCGTGACATGTAGCGCAAATCAGATTTGCATTATTCTCAAAAGCCGCAAAGAAAAATACAAAACATTGCGCAACAATATCTATATCTGACCAATTCTGTGTTGACTCTTTCTTTGCTTCCATCAGCAATTGTATCATATCAGGTCGTACTATATTATGTTTCTCACGATATTTCATAGAATCAACGACGAGACGCATGAAGTAATCCGTTTTGTGTGCATCGAAAACTCGAACACCGAGGAACTTTAATGAAATTAATTAATTTTTATTAAACTTAATTAATACAATATGATAAATACTCAAATTTGAAGTAATTTTGAAATAATTTTTTTTTTGTTATTTTATTTAATTAAATATAAAAGAAATGTACTCACTTTTAACAACCAAGGCATTACATTTGATAACATAAATTTGAGCATCTGTGCGCCCTTAAAGTTTGTGATTGATTGTCCAATATCATAAAATTCATTTTTTGGATTCTCATAAGAATTTATACTAATGCCGAAAGCAGTTGTTGCTATGATGTCATTGGTGAGTCTTGTGAAGAATTGTTTCATTTCAAGCTCACAACTTCCACCTTCCAATTTTTTGTTTAAATTATTTATGCACTCAAGGAAGCATTCATTCATCAATGGAAGCATGCTGCGCATCTTTGCTGCAGTAAAAACTGGTGTCAATGTGTTACGCATGTCTTTCCAGCGTTGATCCTTCATAATTGATAACATACCAGCAAATAATGGTTCATCATCTGCATTGAAAAATGGTGCATGATTTGGAAAAGACTCAAAATCTTTAACAGCCAACTTTTTAACTAATTCTGGATCATTTATTATAAATGCAGGGGTACGAAAATTATAAAAACCCACCACTTTACTATATAAAAAAATTATCTCTTTACAACATTTTTAAATCAATAAAATTTATTTTTAAACTTACTGTAATTTATTGCGTTTATAAAATTCTATAAAACTTTTTCTCATTGATTCTTTATTAAGAACCACCGCACCAAAGTTGCCCACTAACGGATAGGGCTTCTCGTAGGGCACACCACGTAACTCAAACGTATTATAAGTTGCCGTTAGCCATTTATAAAGCAGGAATAAGGATGCAATTGCTATTAAAACTAATTCTAATGCCACCATTTTACTTAGACTTTTCACTGGACGTAATCCTTTTATCAATTATATCGTTTATATACCACAAGTGATTCACTTCAACTAAATCTTTTCGTGAGATACTTTGAGAATTTAAGTAAGAATAAGTTCGCAAAAAAAAATCAGCCAAACAATTATGTAGTTTTGTAGCATAAAAAAGCTAAACTTGTTTAAGCTTAGAGATAAATGTATGAAATCAAGTGGGAACTCAAATATAAAGAGAACTCAAGAGTTTGATGGAGAGAGATAAAGAGACTGATTGAGAGAGAGAGAGAGAGTTATGAAGTAGAAATGTATCTCTTGCTTTTTGTTTTGTGTAGATAAGTGAACAGAAATTGGATTTGAGTTTAGTGCTTTGTTTTTATTTATTATTTGCCGATCACTTCAAAGCACTGAGTAACGTTCTTAATAGGGAACAGGTTGGAAGTTCCTCAAACAACAGGTCATTGCAGTTTCGAGTATCATAAAATATTATTATAGCTAAATTATATGTCTGTATTTTTTGTTTACATTTTTGGAACTAAAAAAAATTAACTCTTATATAGATAAAATAAATTTATATGTACTTAATATATTCAAGAAAAAAATATTAATTCGACAATAACACAAACTCGCTTGTTCTTCCCCAAGAATAATTGGCGTTGGGTTTGTGTGATTGTTAAATATTCAATATTATTTCAAAGTTATTATGTTTTTGGTATTGTGTTAGGTCATGGAAAATTTTAGAAGCTTTTTAAAAGTACTTCGTTATTTTATTGCAAAAATATTATTTATTATATATATAAGTATTTATATTTGAAATTTTTTGCCGTGCTTTAGGTCGTGGTTTTTAATTTTAAATTTTTATATAATAACTTGTATTGTATTATTTATATTTGTTAATTAAATAATTTATTACATAAATTAAATTTGTGATATTTTATTTAATTCAAAGTTTGTTTTTATTTATTTTATATAAAATACAAGTTATTATATAAAAATTTAAAATTAAAAACCACGACCTAAAGCCCGGCAAAAAATTTCAAATATAAATATTGAGGTCGACACCAATACGAACATAATTATAAGTATTTATGTAATATAAAAATATGTATAAATATTTATATAATACAGAAATATACTTAAATATATAAATTAACTTGTTGAAATTATAGCTAAGCCAATAGATTCAGATATTTTATATATTTTGTTTAAAAAATTCATTGAAATTTTTTTATTATTTTTAATTATTTTTAATTTTTGATGCGTACTGAGTTCGTGTAAAATATTTCTATACAAATATAATTTTTTTCATTACAAAATAATTAACATTTACAAATAATGTAGATATGATCTCATTCTCTCAAAATAAGTAGTACAATTGAAAGAAAATAGTACTACTGTAAGTAAGTAGGCGAATTTGTTTGCTTGCGGATACTAACAGACTTGTCAGTTGCGTTACAATATTATTCAAGAGTTCTTAAAGTTATTTAATGATAATACTCGTACACATTACTTAAAATGTGTCTGTTATTAGTGAATTGTAAACGATTGTTCACTCGAGTACCAGGAACATAGTTCAGTTCCTCAGAATTAATAGCTAGAAAAATTTTAGTCGAGTTTTGGAAGAGAACCGTTTATAAGAAGGGTAGATCAGGGTAGGGTCAAAGTTTCCTTAACACATACGAGTATATCCTAACTTATTCTGTGATAAATATTTGGTTTATGTATTGTTATGTATTGTGTTGCAAGCAGATAGTGCTCAGTTAAAATAATGCTGTAGTTCGATTAAAAAATAAAAAAGCTTTGGTGTATTTTAGATCGAATATATTTTTTCAAAGATCACTATTAAATCGATTTTAGTTAGTATTGGAAAGAATTCTATAATCAGTTAGAAAATTCACTCGAGTAAATATTTAAAAGATTTAAAAGATAATAATATCTGCTTAATATTCTCAACCAAATTCTTGTAAAAAATTTAATCAATTATGAAATTTATTATGTTTGAATGTGAGATTTTTTTTATTCTTAATTGTGATAACATGTCTCCATCTTAATACATAAACTGGTCCATCATAATTATTACTTTAATAAAGTAATATATTCATTACACGTGCTTATTGACACTAAGTAAATAAAAAAAAAATAATTCGGAAGTATATGTAAAAATAAATCAATATCTAAGGTCTGTTTTGAAGAAAAATACTAAATTCTTAATGTTAAAGTTTCAGTACAAATATCTGTTTGCTAGCTTTATAAATGTGTAACACTTCTTTTAGATTGTGTAGTTTCTGTGGTCGAAAGTGGGTGGATTTGAGTATGTTAATGAACAGTTCAAATACTTCAAGAGACATTTTTAAGTCACAACGCCTATGATATTGATGTTAATATAAAAATAATTGGAACGGTAATTGAGTTTTATTAATATCTCTACCTACACCACGACAAATGCGACTTTATATAAGTTAACACCCATTCTTCTCGAATCCGGTCGCTGCGCTTGGCCATATTAACGGCTCAATCATGTGATATTATTCGATCGCTTGATCGAACCTTGGAATAGTCCCGTTTGGCCTTCGTAGCAATCAACTCCACAAAATCATGCTCCTTCCCTTTCTTTTGGGTTATTGAGTTAACCACATCGTAAAATAAGATGTCTTTTTATTTAAAAAAAAATAATTAACTTATATGGACAAAAATAAAAATTCATATTCAAATTAAAATATTCGCTAAAAAAATGTTAAGATATAATTTTGATAAATCTATTAAATTAAAATATTTCATAAAAGGTTTTCATCACTCCGAATCTTAGAAGATATCAGTAAATGTTTTGTTGAAGGGCTTGTATCAAAATGCAATTAGAAATCTTATCTGTGCAAGACATAATCTTTTAAATGCAAATAGATAACTAAATCTATAAAATGTGAAGCTACAATTTATTATTTGTACTTTAAAGAGAACATCAAATTCATACCATTTCTCTTATTGGTAATATTTGTAGTGGCGATTTGCGCTTAAATATGTCAGACTCTTCAATATAAAAAATAAAGTCTGAAAGTAAATGTATTTCATGTTTAATTGAAATAATTGCGTTATTTGTATATAAAAATTTTTAAGTAACTTTCTGTTTTTAGCAATTGTGTAGCTTAGATAATTTTAAAATATATATAAATAGAGCTATTGATAAATATATATTAATCGATATCAGAGGCGCCAGTTAGACGATTTGTTATTGTGTATTGTTCTTATTTATAATACCACATAAATTTGCAATTACCAAAGTGTAATTTCAATTATTAATTTTTACCTTTCGCTTATAGTATCCTTTAAAATTTTTTTTAAATATTTAAAATCATTATTTCTGTACATTATTTCTGGAGTACATAACAGGATGTTTTTATAATTACTGTATATATGTAGGTATTTTTAATTGCCATGAATAAACCTGGAAGGATGTTTAAAACTGGTATCTCAGTTTCTAAGCAAATTGAAGTGAAAATTCGTTTAAAATTTTTTTTTTGAAAATCCATTAGTTAAAGCCAACAAATAAATAAAGTTTATTACATAATCAGAAAATATTAACATAACTTTTTGATACACATTATATTTTGTTTTAATTCTGTAAATTTTTGGTTTTAAGTATTTTGTAATATTCCTCATTATTTTTCTTTTTAAATATTTGAATTTGGAAAAAAAAATGTTTTGGAGTGTCAAGAGTTGAGCCAGATCAAGTAAAAACCATGGATCCTTACTACACAAGGCCTACATACTTGAAGTTTTGTTAATTCTTTTTATATACTTAGCAATATTGGAAATTGCTGAATGGTCAGCTAAAAACATATATCATTAAAATAAAGTTTTTTATATTTCAAATTTTTTTTCACATAAGAACCATTATTGAATGGCATGTTTCACAATTTTAACATTTATGTACATAATATTAAAACTCTAAACGCATAACGACAACAAAAGTTACTGTGGTGTTTAGTTTTATCTATACTTTTATACTACTAAGTGTAGTATTTATATATATAAATAAATTAAATAGTACATTTACTTTACTATATGATGTGACGTAAATGCTTTTATAATTATGGGTTATCTATTTTGTGATTCTGAGTCGGCAGTACTGTTTCAGTGGCATGTGTCAACCAAAACTATCATCTAAGGCATCATATATGTATTTACTTTAAGGTTTTTATTTTATAATATAGATCTCTTTATAATCGCTGACGGTGATAAAATTTAGTAAAACAGTGTTGATTTCGTACATTTTGTAATAAGCTATATTAATATAGCTCATTTTTCATCTATGGCAGTAAAAGCTCACAAATAACTATCAGAACAGCATTGCATCTACATGAAATTCCTGTGTAGTATTCAGTCTGGACCTATAGCAGTTAAGTACTTTTTTAACAACGATGAAAGTGAAACCTAAATCGTTTGACTGGTACAGCCATATGATTGTTAATGTTATTGGCGTTCAAAAAATATACATGTGGATGTGAAAGATATGGGATTTCAAAAGGAAAAACTTTCAAGCCACATAATCACAGTTGTTTTTAAATTACGTTTGCTATGAAGTGAGTGGGGCTTTATATGTAAATATAACATAATTTTTATTATTTATTAGCATATAAGTATTTTTGATTAATTGTTATTATATACATATTATCTACTATTTCAAAAATTGCTAAAGAATATTATTAAATATGATTTTAGAAGTACAAAATAATTATTAATGATAAATGTGTATATTGTACTTGACACATAACATTAGCGAAATAACATATATTTAAAGAACTATGTCTAAAGAAACTACTCAGTTATCTCATCAGTGATGATTATAACGAAAGTATTGCACTACTTTATTATTTTTTTGATTTATTTTTATTAAATTTATTTTAATATATAAAAGTTAGGCGTATTTGGTTAAAATTATTTAGGGCAATCAAAAATGTAATAACTGAATAATCTCTAATATGTTAAGAATAATTGTGAGACTTAAAATTAGACAAAGGATACCATATGAGTTAGACATAGTTTATTAAAAATTAGTAGGTATTGACCATTCCTACAGCAGTTCCGATTGTAGATACCGTTTGTTATTTTACAAAATAAAATTGATGCTCTTAGAATATTCCGGTACTAATCTAATGTAACTCTTTTTTAAGAAACTATTCTGAGAAATTTATTTTTAGAAACATTTGACTATTTTGAAGTGCGCTTGGAAGTCTTCTGTCGTCTTATCTCATCAAAAGGCCGTACTTTATCAATACAAGATATAGATATAGTAAAATTATAAGATTATTTCACTTTACGCACGACACTCATACAGTCATACATCGCAATGCCAATATTTAGTTCCCAGGCTTCAATGCAGCGTTTAAATAATAAGAATAAATTAGTAAACGTATTGAGTCATCTGTTCAATAAATTGCAAGAATATCTCCATTAACTTTTTAAAAACAACTGATAACAAACAGACTTTTCGTTGAAAAGAAAAGGAAAAGTATGAATGTTGACTTTGGCTTTACCGAGAGTTCAATACCCTCTACACAAAACTCGACCAACTTCACTAATCAAATTTTATCTGATTGAAAATATAAATTTGAAATAAGATACTTCATAATAAAATACATATAAAAAAGATATTTCATTGGTAGAATCATGTTAAACTATCAATTACAGTTTACCATATTTTTATTATAATGGTTGATATATTTGTGAAATAAGCCAAGGATATTGTCAATATTTAAAAAAAATAACAAAATATTAAAGAAAATCAAGAAGTCTTAAAATTGATAATGTAGCTACGTGGAATTTTATTTGTCTATCCCAAACCCTAGGAGACAAATTGATGCCTTAATAATTAGAAAATTAATAATGTACTTCTTCATCATACCAAACTTTATGTATAGTTTTTAAACTATGTTTCTGAGGTGAGAAAGTCAAAATAAGTTAGATTTGGCTTTGCTGAAGCTGCAGTATCTGGCAATTCAAATTAAAACTTTACACATCTTTATAGAACAGGTACAGTAATACTTAATCCATTCTACTAAATTTTTATTAGCGATGTTAGAAATATTATTATTATTGTAATATTACTCAGAGTTTTTATAGAATTGATCGGGATATATCAGGGTTATGAGAGATTTTGTGATATATCTGGAGAGTGTGGTCTAAGTTATCTCCTACAAATTAAGCCCCTTAATGCATTTATCCAAGAGTACAATACCTCAGACGTCGGTTGGTATAATGGGTCTGGCACTCGTATGGCGAGAGCTGTTGTGATGTGCGGATGTTTTGTTCTACATCTTATTTACCTAATAGTGGTTCACATGATTTTGTACATAACTATCAGCTGATTTGGCAGATATAAAATATATATTTATATTTTCATTGATTAGGTAATTATTTTGTTAGCAGTAAGATAAAATATGAGTTATATTTTCAATTATAATTAATATTAAATTAAGTTAAAAATCAGATTAAAATAATTAGAATCAACTAAAAATTAATTAATGATAATCAAATTGCTTTAAAGTTTTAAAATAAAAAAGTATCAACACAATTTTAATCAATAAAACCACGTTTCGGTCATTCATTTATAAGTCGCCAATAGCATATAATCCAACATTTTCAAAAAAAACCATTTTACAGATGATATTATACAAAATTGTGTACTTCTACTTCTACTTGAGGGACATTACTAGAACTAATTTTTCTGTAAGACTATTCAAAATTATGTACATTTAGTTCAAGGCGTAAGAGAAATGTGTAATTAAAAACATGCGGTTAAATGAAAATACTCTAAGCTTAAATTAAAATTCCCAATACTTTTTGTAAGTACGGTTTCTAATGTTTATTTTGATGCGTTACAAATAAATTAAATAAGTTAATTCATTTTTATCACATCACGTAAGGTGTTTTAAATCATGTGGGTTAAATAACATAAGATAAGTACGTTTTTATTATAAACTTTATATTTTATTACGTATGCGTGTGAACTGTACTAATTATGCACTTTAATAGTATCCTTATCAATGGGTTTGTTAATCAATAATCAGTATATATAAACATTTTTTATCAACACAATTACTTTTATTGATAAGAATGCTTTAAAATGTTTGTTGTGGCAATTACTTGTTAAAGATATAAAGGCAGGTGTATAAAAATATGTAGGAATCATTTCTGTGGAAGTGCTTTAATCTTTATTAGACAAAAAGTATCTTTCTTTTGTTAAATACAGCAAACAATCATCCACTGAAGTCATAGCATCTTAAAATGAGACACTATCTAAATGATCATCCTTTTCGTTGTTCTAATGTAGTATCACAATATCAACGCTATATTACAAACAAAACTGTAATACAGGTCATTATAGATTAACGAATATGATAAGCTTAAGAATTGTCATTTTGTAATGTGCATCATAACTATAACTATTGGAAATGTTCAAGTTGTGATAATTTAATACAACAATAGTAATCATTTTCTGTTAAATTCAACTGTGTTAAAGATTTTTCAACACAGGTTCGTGTTCTTATTGGCTACTAAAAGTTTATTATATTTCAAGCTACTAATTTCAAGAAAAATCTAATGTTTTCAATATCTACCGTTATTATTTTAATGTAGAGAATAAAATGCATCACTATAACAGTGGTTGATTCTTGTAAACCCAATTTTCTTAAAGCTCCATAAACATTACATGACGGGTATATATGATATACTGAACAACGAAATTGTTCCTAAGATTGATAAGTCTGCTACTATTCTGTTTCTAATTTTAACGTTTGTTTTATTATATATTTTTAATGAAAACATTTATTAGAATAATAATTATACTACTTACAGATTTACGAATTAATATCACTCAACCAAACTAAAAATATTTATATAATTGACTTTAATATTTATTTCAAATGTCATAATCAAAAAATTTTATTTTCAAGTACTTCTTTTAACCAAGAGATAAGTTTTTACAAACTCCATTATAATTTAATCGATTGATAAAAATATTGTGGAAACTGATTTAAAGCTTATACACAAAATTAAGTACAATTAAACACCCTTTAGGTTAGTTAGTTTCTTGACACAAAACGTATCCAAAAGCCTCCACGCGGGCTTACATTAAAACCACGCATATCATCGAAAATATCTTTTACAGTATTTTCTGATCGTTCCAGTTTACAGTTTATAACTAAATAGTATAACATTGCTTTTGCCTGCATCAGTGCATAACGATTACCTTAAAGTAAAAATATTAATATGAAGCATATCAACAAAAAATTGAATATATAAAGTTATTATTATTATATATCAAAAAAATAAAGTCATACCTATGCAATTTCTAGGTCCAGCACCAAAAGGTATGAATGTAAAAGGTTTAATATTTCCTTTGTTATCATCACTAAAACGTTCTGGAATGTATTCTTCAGGATTCTCAAAATGTTGTTCATCCATGTGCAAGCCACTAATTGGAAACCAGACGCGATCACCAACTTTAAATTCGAATACAAGATTATCCTCTTCGTCCGTCAGTTTATAATCCTTGGAGCAAACACGATCAGTGAGTGCAGCAATAGACCATTTACGGAGTGTTTCGTTTAGCACCATATCCATATATTTCATTTTATTTGCTATATCATAACTTAATGGTTGCTCCTGTAATTCTTCTTTAATTTCAAGACATTCCTCATACAAACGTTGTTGAACATCAGGATTAGACATTAATTCGTGACTTGTAGCACAAATCAAGTTTGCGTTATTCTCAAAAGCAGCGAAGAAGAAGATGAAACATTGTGCAACGATTTCTTCGTCAGACCAGTGTTGTGCAGAATCTTTCTTAGCTTCTAGTAATAATTGAATCATGTCGTGACGTACTATGTTATTCTTCTCTCGGTATTTCATGGCATCAATAACAAGGCGAGTAAAGTAATCTGTCTTCTCTTTATCGAAAATTTTCATGCCAAGGTACTGAAAAGAAAATTACCTATTAATTGAATTCTAAAATATTTGTAGCTGGTGCTACTCTTTAGCTTATAACGAGCTATTATCGTAGTTACACAACAATATGAAATTTATTCGTTAAGTGTATAGTATCTTTCACAGTTCTAATAATTGTAACAAATTATTTTTAATTAAAAACTAAACATTTGAATATCCTCAGTTGGAAAGGTTATTATCTACAAATTTTGTATTTGATGTGCGCTCAAGATATGGGTTCATAAAATCCCATTGATGTCTGGTTAGAATAACAATACCTTTAAAGAAATGCTTGATGACTATCTATTATAAAATTTACGCAGACATTTAACCTCTTCTGTATCTCTAGGGCTATGCGTGAATTACAGTCAAACAAATTAGATTAACCCAACCTTCGTATTTAATGTAAGTTTTTGAAAATTATTTGATAATTGTTTAAAAAATGGTTTATTATTCTATAACTATTTAGTCTGTCATAAACTGCTTTTACTTTATAATTAAGTGCACGCATATATCAAATACAACGAAATAACGTAATATTACGTTACAACGAAATAACGTTTATCTATTACGATTGAATAAGCGTTAAGGTTATTGGGTTCAGCCAAATTTCATTGAATACTTGTTTACACTAAAATATTCTTATTTTATTTTTATTTAAAAAATGTTTACTATCGAATAAGTTTCGAATAAGTAGTGCATATTATTATGAATCTGAAACTTTCATTTCAAATACAGGTCAGATTATATAAAAATATAGTTACCTTTAAAATCCAAGGTGCTACATTTGAAATCATGAATTTAAACATTTGTGTTCCTCTGAAACGGGTAATTGATTGACCCACATTATAGAATTGATTATTTGGATCCTCATATGAATTAGTACTTATTCCAAAGGCAGTGGAAGCGATAATATCATTCGAGAGCTTCGTCATGAATTGTTTCATTTCAAGTTCACAGCTGCCATTTGGCAATTGCATCTTTAAATTCTTTATGCACTCATTAAAGCATTCGTTCATCAATGGAAACATATTACGCATTTTTGCTGCAGTGAAAACTGGTGTCAATGTATTACGCATATCCTTCCAACGCTGATCCTTCATTATATTAAGCATACCAGCAAGTAAAGGATCTCCGTCAACATTGATGAAAGGTGTATGGTTTGGAAAATGATCAAAATCTTTTACAGTGATTTTCTTAATCAACTCTGGTTCATTGATAAAAAAGACTGGATTACGAAAATTAAAGAAACCCACAATTTTGCTAAAAATAATACAAAATTATATAGATAAAGCAACATGTGAATATAATAACCCTTACTGCATTTTATTACGTTTATAGAATTCAACAATCGTTTTTGTTGCAGACTTTTTGTTCATCACAACATTGCCGAAATTACCCAACACAGGATATGGTTTTTCGTAGGGTATATTACGTTTCTTAAATTCATCGTCACGAATTGTCAACCATTTATATATCAGCCATAGGGCTAGGGACGTAACTATAACTATTTCCAGAAAAGCCATTTCAGTTTTTTATATTAAAATTCCATTTATTTTGGACGACTTCAGTTACACATTGTGAGCACGACTAAACCCCTTTATCAATTTTATGCGGTATTTAAAGTTGAAATAATCACACTTTTTCTACTGCAATATTTTGACTATGTATGGTCAATTAGAGATAATAAATTTTATCAATAGAGAAATAGTTTTGCTATGTTTATCAACAAAATATTCGGAGAGCTGCGTTCAACTTATACAGTTTTGAAAATTATGAGTAAATTGAGCAACAAATTATGAAACTAATTTAAAAGTAAAAGTATTTGATAGCAAATAAAACAATAAAAATATAATAATTAATTTTTTTTATTAATAAACAGACGGTAGTTTTAGGTATATAATTTGTTTATTTGTGACAAACAATATGTTCATCACTGTTAATTGAATGTCATTATCGTTTTGTTTAAATCAGTTAAACATTCGTTTTTTTTTTTTTTGTGATGAGGAAGTGCCTAAGTGTATTAGGTATACGGACTAGAACCCCCGCTTATAGCCGAGGATCTCTTTTATGTTTGTATTTCTAGCCATGCTGTTTTGATTTTTAATCTGCGTTCAGACCTCTACTTTTTATCGCATTTTCTAGGCGTAATAAATAATTAATATAAATAATAAATATATTATACTAGTTTCTAATTCCTCTTTCTAGGTGTAATTTCTTCGCTTTGAGGATTTAAATTACATATGACTCTATAGTTTGCCAGTTCTTTGGGTTCGTTCTCATCTTTTTTACAATATTAAATTCGAAAAATTATATATTAATGATAAAATTATTATTTAACTTATACTTATACTACGCTACACAGAAATTAACATTTTCAATGCATATGTCAACTCAGTAGTATTTTATGGATAAATATTTGAAACTATTAGGTGTACCGGTATGAAATGAGCGTTAAGATACATATGTTCCGACAGGGAACATTTGTTGTGAACGAGCCTTTATTTTTTTTTGTTTGTTTGCTATGACATGTGTGAAATATATTTAGTATACATCAAGTCAATGAACAGACAACATCATATTTTTTCATCGTGTTAAAAATGTCGAATTTTGTACCAGAAAGTGACGATTTGCGGAAAGCATTAATTTTTTGTTTTCATTTGAAGAAAAGTGGTGCAGAGTCGCATCAAATGCTTGTCGGATTGTTACTGGCGTGAAAAATGGATTTATTTTAAGAATCCTAAACGGAAAAAATCATGGGTTAATCCGGGACAACCATCAACATCGACTGCAAAACCAGATCGATTCGGCAAGAAGACAATGCTGTGTGTTTGGTGGGACCAGAAAGGTGTGGTGTACCACGAGCTCCTAAAACCTGGTGAAACCGTGAATGCTGGTCGCTATGAACAACAAATGATAAATTTGAACCATGAATTGATCGAGAAACGACCAGAATGTGCCAGAAAACACGGCAAGGTAATTCTGCTCCATGACAATGCACCTGCACACAAAGCAAAACGGGTTCAGGATGCAATCAAAACACTTGGCTGGGAGCTGCTACCCCACCCGCCGTATTCACCAGACTTGGCTCCTTCCGACTACCATTTGTTTTCATCGATGGGACACGCATTGGCTGAGCAGCACTTTGATTCCTACGAGGAGGTCGAAAATTGGGTGTCTGGTTGGTTTGCTTTAAAAGACGAACAATTTTTTTGGCGTGGTATCCACAAATTGCCAGAAAGGTGGTCAGAATGTGTAGAAAGCAATGGCCAATACTTTGAATAAAATGTTTTTTAATTTCCTATTGGGGATATAAAAACAGCTCTAGAAGAATTTGGACATGCTACTACAAATATATGGAATATGAAACATCGCCAAACAAAAAGGTCCCTTCCAATGTTCGTTGTAGAAATAGAGCAAAAACCAAATAACAAAGATATCTACAACATTAAAAGCTTACTCCACAGTCGAGTTACCTTTGAGCCACCCCATTTTAAACGTGAGTTACCTCAATGCTCAAGATGCCAACACTATGGCCACACTAAATCAGGATGTAGAAGACAACCCAAATGCATTAAGTGTGCTGGTAATCACGCATCGGCTGACTGCGAAAGAAAATCCAGAACAAATGATGTTAAATGTGTTCTTTGTGAAGGTAACCACCCAGCAAACTACAAGGGCTGCTTAGTGTATAAAAAACTGCAAGCGTCTACTTTCCCACCACTTAAAAAAAAATTTCTAAAACCTGATGCTGAATTTGTATCCTCAACTAATCAGCATCAAGAACAACACGAAAAACAGCAAACTTTCGCTCAACCTGCACGCGCTCAACCAGGTCAAACTACTCCAAATAAAAACTCTCAGCAAACTTACGCTCAAGTTGCTGCCAACCAAATAGATCAAATTTCTTCCAATAAAAATAATCTTCACAGCGATGCATTGGTGAGTGAAATGAAAGAAATGATGAAACTAATGCGGGAAGTAATGAATCAAATAACTACCATGACAAATCTTTTAGTAAGTCTTGTTTCTAAACAAACCATATGCCCATAAAGCTCGTCTTATGGAATGCCAATGGGTTGTCAAAACATTCCTCTGAACTGAGATTATTTCTATCAAAAAATAACGTAGATGTATTATTAGTTTCAGAAACTCATTTCACAAAAAAAAGTTTTTTTAAAATTCCATCCTATTGTTTCTATCAGTCTCCGCATCCGGACGGAAAAGCTCATGGAGGCTCTGCAGTATTAATTAAAAGAACACTTAAACATTATGAATGTACTCACTATAGCACTGATGAAATTCAAGCCACAAATATTATGATCGAGGACTCAGTCGGACCAATTCTTATATCTGCCATATATAGCCCACCAAAACATAATGTGAAGGAAGAAATCTACACAAAATTTTTTTCAACATTAGGGAATCGATTTATAACTGGTGGCGACTTCAATGCGAAAAATATATTCTGGGGATCACGACTAACCACAACAAAGGGACGTGAATTATACAAAGCAGTGAGACTCTTGAAACTTAAAGTTTTTTCCACAGGAGAGCCCACATACTGGCCATCAGATACAGATAAAATTCCTGATCTTATTGATTTTTGCGTTACCAAAGGCTTCCTTTATGAACATGTGCAATGTAAGACCAGCTTAGAGTTATCATCGGACCATTCACCAGTGATTGTAATAATAGATAAAGACCTTAGAAACAAGATCCAAAAATGTCAATTATACAACAAGCAAACAAATTGGACTATATTTGAAACAATGTTGTCATCGTCTCTAAACGTCAAAATGCCACTAAAAACTGAAGAAGATATAATTGAAGCGACTGAATACCTAACCAGATCTATTCAAGAGGCAGCATGGGAAGCTACTCCTCCTCCAAAAGTCTATATGAAGAATCTAGTAACGTATACTGGGGAGATCACAAAAAAACTAAAGGATAAACGAAATGCTAGAAAAATATGGCATCGTACCAGATTTCCTGAAGACAAGAGGAAACTTAACAAAATTATTAAAGATCTAAAGACTCTGCTGAAACGACAGACGGAACAAAATACGCAGAAGTTCTTACATAGCCTCGACACGTCTCACTTATCTCACTATTCTCTATGGAAAGCAAATAAAAAAGTAAATAATACAATAGATTATCGACCCCCACTTAAAAATACAGATAATACTTGGGCGAAAAAACCGTCTGAAAAAGCTCAACTTTTCGCAAGCCATCTAAAAAACGTTTTTATTCCACATGATATGACTGGCGATTCAGAAATAGATGTCAATGTTTCCAAATTTTTAGAAGAAACTCACCAAATGGAGTTACCAATTAGGAAATTTAAAAAACGAGAAATAATTTCTACAATTAAATCTCTTAAAAATCAAAAGGCACCTGGTTATGACCTCATAACTGCTGAAATTCTTAAAAAACTTCCAGATGTTGCTTTAATATTTATTACTCATCTTTTCAATGCATCCTTGTTAAAAAGTTTCATCCCTGATCAATGGAAAGTTGCCGAAATAAAGATGATACTAAAACCAGGGAAACCAGCTGAAGATGTAAAATCCTATCGTCCAGTAAGTCTCCTTCCCATTCTTTCAAAAGTTCTTGAGATATTATTTTTAAAACGTCTTATGCCGGTAATTGAGTCGAAACGAATAATTCCGAACCACCAGTTTGGATTCAGAAGAAAACACTCAACCATTGAGCAAATTCATAGAATTGTTGAAAAAATACAGACCACTTTCGAGCGAAAAGAATACTGCTCAGCAGCGTTTTTGGACATACATATCTCAAGCGTTTGATCGAGTATGGCACCAAGGACTTCTTTACAAATGTAAAAAGCTTCTGCCACTTAACTATTATACGTTCATAAAATCGTATCTATTGAAAAGACTCTTTTATGTCAACAATGAAAATGAAATGTCTTCTCTACATGATATTAGAGCTGGAGTACCACAAGGCAGTGTACTCGGTCCAACCCTTTATCTGCTTTTCACATACGATTTACCGAAGACGGTAGGAATTGTAACCGGCACATTTGCAGATGATACACCTATCCTGGCGAGTGCAAACGATCCCTCTGTAGCCTCATTCAAACTACAAGCTGGTCTTGATCGTATATCAAAATGGTTGCAGTATTGGCGCATGAAAGCAAATGAAACAAAATCTACTCATGTTACATTCACAATGAGAAAAGACACCTGCCCGGAAATTAAACTTAATAATATAATAATTCCGCAATCAAATAGCGCTAAATACTTGGGCATGCACTTAGATAGACGTCTGACATGGAAAACGCATATTTTTAACAAAAGGAAATCCCTTGGGATTCAATACAGAAAAATGTTTTGGCTACTAAATAAAAAATCTTCAGTATCCCTAAAGAATAAACTTATTTTATATAAAAGTGTGCTAAAACCAGTATGGACCTATGGCATTCAATTATGGGGAACAGCCTCAACATCCAACATAGAAATTCTTCAAAGATTTCAATCTAAAACTTTACGGGAAATAGTAAATGCTCCATGGTATGTAACTAACATTCAAATCCATCTGGACCTTGGGATA